GAGGCGGGTGGAGTGCATCTGGCTGTCCTTAATAAAATCTGTGGCTGTACTGATGTTTATATCTTTTTTTTTTTCGCCTCTCAATGCAGCGGATAAGAATTGGCCTATCAGAGGTGGCTGTCGATGTAGAAATGCGTAAGGTACGCCTTGTTGCACCTGGAAAATGGATGTTGTGTGCGTCTTTCATCTTACCTACGAGTGTAGCTTTTGCAAACCAAATGTGGGACATGTAGATAGATAAGTTAAAAGCTGAGGTAGGCCATGCCCTCATGTTTTGTATATCACATATATCAATTCATTCAATCATCCCATATATTTCTAACTCAATAACTTGGAATCCGTTTCTTATTCTTTTTTTTGCTAATTCAACTCTTCTGGAAATAAATAGGCCATAGAAAGCTCATCATTTTGTTTGTTACAAGGTTGTTGTATCCACTTCCTCCCCCTCCTCCTTCCCAAGAAAAAAAATCTTTGGACTTATTGTAGCTTATAAATAAGACTTATTTGTTCATAAACTTACCGGCTCCGTTAGTTCATAAAACTTACAAGCTCTTGACTAGTTCACCTTAAATAATTTGGTTATGTCTGCCTCTCTTTTCCAAGAGGGTTGTGCAAATCTTTTGAACTCTCTTTGGGTTATGGGTTAAAAAAAAAAGGAAAACTTACTCTTAAAATTAAGTAGAGAATGTTTGTAATTTCTAACAAAGACATTTTAATAAAAATATAAACTACAAAATGGGTTTTGTTGCATGGCTTATAAGGTAAAGAAGAGAGTTTGTTTTCTTGTTTCTTTTTTAATATATTAAAAAATGTAACCTATAAGCTATTGGCATGTAAGCCAAATTTACTAAATATAAACCGTTTTAACTATTTTCAAGTATAAATTTTTATTAAAAAGTTAAAAGTTATTTTTTAAAGTTACAAATTATAGTTTGTGTTTTAACTTTTTCAAAAAGAAATTTGTTTTTGCTAGAAATATTTTTACTTCACCCGTTTAGTTATAAAAGTGTTTTTAAAATGTACAAGTCAAAATCTAAAGTTGTTCTAAGAGAAACCAAGTTAAACCGAATACCATTGTAGAAACTTATTTTTTTTCCTTGGCTTATACATAAGTTCAGCAAAAGAGTAAGTTGTCTTTTTCAGTTCTTTTGCCAAAATATGAGTAGAGATGATGAACTTTTTATTTAAGTTACTTTTTTAGTTTGAGTTTTGTTTACCTTTCAACTTATAAATTTTTTTATTTATTAAAATCTCACTATTAAAGGAAAACTTGTAAATTAGAATTACTATACTATTTCTTTTACTCTCTTTTTGTCTTATTCACTTCTAGGTTAGAAATGTAATTTGCACCAGCAGCTCTCATGTGTATATATATATATGTGTGTGTGTGTGTGTGTATTTCCCCTTATTTGTTAAGTAGGTCTGGTCTTTAGAGCATGTCCTAGAATACAGTATATATTTTTTTTTTACACGATTGAAATCATAAAATACAATATTTGATATATATTTAGTAAGTATTTGTAGATAATGAAAAAATAAGTTTGAGTTAGGAACTGTTATTATACGTAATTGGCTTCTTGCTTTGCTCCCAAGAGTACCAAGAAAAGGTGAGGGAAATATAACAGGATGGGGCGTGAGTTGCACGCCCCAAAGCATCCAGCAGACATATCTAGCTTTTGTGTCTGGGAGTGATGTCTTTGGTACTATTAGGTTTTTTTTTTTTTTTTTTTTGTTGCAGTACAAAAACACAACTAACAGATGATAGCGACTTGCTGCATTCATCACTTACACCAAACTGTACATAAATGCTAGACCACCCACATATTTGATGCACCCAGATTTGTCCTGTTTGGACGGCCCTGATTCATTCACCCAACATTTGCATGTCTTCTCCCTCCCTCTCTCTCTCTCTCTCTCTCTCTCTCTCTGCCCTACTGTAGGACACCCGTACTTTATGCCCGTTACAGAGCATGTACTGCCCCTACACAGCCGGAGCTGTGGGACAGAATGGCCTCTCCAGAGCACTCCTGGGGCAAAATAGTAATTTCAGTCTGAGAAGCAGAGGGAAAGAGAAGCAAATCTCAGTTCAGATTGAGATCTAAAATAATGATATACATCTCTGTGCCCTCCCGTAGGGCAGTGGTCCTTATGGGAGGATCTTTTAGGGTATGGCTGTCCTAAAATGGTTAGATCTTTTCACAAGTTGTATAAAGAGACAACTAACAGTTACTCTCAAGTCTTGGTTTCATTATAGAAACTCTCTAGGTAACCACAACCAAACAAACACAAATTCTTACCTGCTAAGTTTTTCATTTTTGTACTACGCATGTAGTTAATTAGGGTTTATATCCTCCTGTCTGTTGGGTGATCAATATAATACGGTGAGAATTGGGTGGTTCATAAAATGGTTTTTTGAAGAAAAATAATTGATAAAGACTGGAAATTGTTGACTTGGAAACCCTAATCACCATAAAGTTCGGTTGTATGGTGTTCTGGGTCTGAAACCATGGGATGAACCCTAATTACCAAATTACTGATGATTAAACTACTACTGAAAATTTAGTTATAAGTACCTTGTGGTTTAGAAGTTTTAGTTTGAGATATGGATTGGAGTACTGGTTCTACAGAATAACACGTGTGAATTGGTCCCCCGGTCGTATGAACAAGAGAGGACCCCTACACTGATCTAAACTGGAATATAAATATATCCCACGTAGCATAGTGCCATCTCTATAACTTTCCATCCTCTGTAGCAATAATAGTTGTTATAATAGTAAAAGGGTTTAAAAATTTATAATTCCACCTCTGTACTTTATAATTCTGTTCAGAGAATACAAATTATAAATATATGTTATATAAAATGGTGGACATTAAATTAAATATTCAAATAATGCGACGGCCAAAAACCAAGCTTCAAAAAAAAAAAAAGAAAGAAGGAAATCCACAATCATTCCATGCAGGGCAGAATCTGCTTCCCAGAACCCAAGAATCCTTCCATGTTTGCCTAAACCCAGTAATGTTCTTCTCTCTCCCCCCACCACCACTCCTCACACGTGCCAACTCCCCCTTCACCAGCCGCCCGCCCGCCCCGGGGCCAATCCCAACGTATATGGTCCCCACATTCCACGTGCCTCGGGTGGGACCACACGGCCCACGTGGGGCCCACCGTTAAACCACCCATCTTCCTCCTAATTTTCCTTCTGCATATATGGTCCTGTATGCTTCGCCGCCTGCATGCAGTCGGTCGCTCCCTCCTCTCGATTTCCATTCCATTTTCGCCGTTCGCTGTTGTTTTTTTATTTTTATTCATACGAAATTGACAAGTTTAATTATTGGATCTGCAAATTTTAATCAAACCTTATTGTTTTATATTTTATTTAAGATTTGATACAAATCGCAAAATTATTTATCTGTAAACTGCACGTACATACACATTTCACCTCTCCAAACAATTCATACGAATCTCTGATCCAACCATATCGATACACACGTACGTACGTACATATATGTGTATAGACGAAATATCCTTTAGATGGTTTTTTTGGTTGGTCACGAGGTTTGAGTTTCTTATTTCTCTAATCTTCTGCCACGGCATTTTGATGTTTTGTAAGACGAACGTTTATGCGTTTTTGCAGCATGCCGATGTGGCGTCTTGTGATTGGTTCGATGTTTTCTTAGGCAATATGTGGGATGTATTGTTTCAAACTTCATGATTGTTGAGGAGGTGTGAAATGGGGTTGACGGTTGGAATATATGACTTTGACCGAGTACTCAGTTTGATAAAGATGGGTGTGTAAGTGTGTGTATAGTTTATATACACACACGTTACATATATACGTGTATATATATATGTATGACTAATTAGTGTAATAACAGGTTTAATATGCTTTTTTTTTATAATAATAAAAGTCAATAAATAATAATAATAATAATACAATTAACAATAATATAACATATTAGTAGACACAGAATGTACAGTCTAATTTAATCTCATAACATTATATAAAAATATTAAAATAGCCACCTTTTGAATATTTAAATGATCATAAATGAAAATAAAAACATACTCGTATTGTTTAAATATTGCAGTATTCCCTTGTAAGATACATGTATGTACCGCACGTATATGTGGACATGTATATTATGCGATGATATATTGACGATGTGATCACTAGCATATAAATTATGTGAAATCATAATTCGGTTTCTATCATCAATTTTCTTATAATAATCTTAAATTAATTATAACAAATGAACCCTTCATTTTATTTTTAAAAAAATAATAATAATTTAAATGAATACCATATTTTGGGTTATTAGATAAGTCTATCATTATTAAATTATTTTAATAAGAAAATTTAAATATAGCAAAAAATTAAATTATTTTCTTCACCCAAATTAATTATTATTTAACTTAACAATAAATTTTGGGTTCGATTTATTTTGTATTTTTATTTAAATGTTATTTTCTCCAATGCTAGTTACGTAATTAATATTGATAAATGCATAAAATTTTTACTAAAAAATATTGATTGTGAGAAAATTAAACTTTCCTTATTAATGATGGGTTAGAATTAATACTATTAATTAAAGAAAGTAAAGTAATTAAACATTAATTACGCATCATATCAATCTATACATATATATATATATATATATATTATCTCTTGTTGACAATAGGGTTTGCTAACAGCTAGTTAAATTCTAAAAATAAGAAGGAACCACATGGGGTCAGCTTTTTGATATTACCTTAATTGAAAAAAGGCATCATTACAAGCCTACACAATAGGCAGATTCATATATTCATTACCAAATCTTACTCTCGGTCACTACCCCAAGACTCTTAGTTATTTCTCCTTTCATTTTTTTTATTTTTATTTTTATAAAATCCTTATAAAGAACTAATATGATGTATACATTCACTTAATTTGAGTATTATACATATATATATATATATATGTATATGTTACCCACTTTGGCACGATTTGATAATATAGTTTTCCATCTAAGTATATATAAAGATTATTGGGAAAATGTTAGTTGCACCTTCTAAAATTTCGTTCCATACAATAATAAAAAGGGCAAATTATTAAGGTTTTTGATTTTAAGACATTCTTAAAATTGGATCTATTAATATAAAATTTTATTATATAGTCTTTGTATTTTAAACAAATATGGAAACATGGTTGGATTAACTTATAGAGAAAGTTTGATAAATTTTTCTAAAATAACAACACTTTGAAATCAAAAATTTATTAATAATTTTTATAGTTCGTGGGATTTAGATGATATATTCATTTAAAATATAAGAATTTAATTATGATTTTTTTTAATCTAAGGAGTTTAGTTATAATCGGATAAAATATTTGAATTTTACATTTAAAGATTTTTTAAAGCATATTTTTGTTATTGTATTAGGTAAAAATCGAATATCTAATTTTCTAAAGATGAGAAGTACTATTTAATTTTTAGATTAAGAGTATCTAAAGTCATTTAAAATCAAATCAAATATTGTAAATAAAACAAGTTTAAAATATCTAAATATAATTGTAAAGAAATTAAATTTAAAATCTCTCAATATTATATGTAATCAACCCATTATAAAGGTGGATATTTATTTATAGATAAACTTCTTAAACTATCTAAATCTTTATTACATTGTCAAATCTATTAATCTAAAATTTATTGTCTAATCTTTGTATTTTAAACAATTATGGAAACTTGGTTCAATTAATTCGATAGAGAAAGTTTGATAAATTTTTGTAAAAAAATAATTTTTATAGTTCATGGGATTTAAGTTATATATTCATTTAAAACATAAGAATTTAATTATAATTTTAATGTAACGAGAAACCGTAATTTAATTTAATTTATTTTTTTTTAAAAGTATAATGTAATATGTATTTAATGTTATATTAGGTAAAAAAATCGAATCTCGAATTTCTATTTTTGTAGAGATGAAGAAGTACCAATTAATTTTTAGATTAGGTGCATCTAAAGTCATTTAAAATAAAATCAAATATTATACTTAAAATCAAATTTAAAATATCTAAATGTAATTGTTAAGAAATTAAATTTAAAATCTCTTAATACAATGTGTAATCAACCCATTAAAGTGGTGGATATTTATTTACAGATAAACTACTTAAACTATCTAAATCTTTACTATATTGTTATATCTATTAATTTAAAATTTATTACACAATCTTTATATTTTAAACAAATATGGAAATTTGGTTCAATTAACTTATAGATAAAATTTGATAAATTTTTTGTAATAGGGTTCATGGGATTTAAGTGATATAATTCGTTTAAAACGTAAGAATTTAATTATAAACTATAGTTTAAAGTAATTTAAATTATTTAAGTATAACATAATGTATGTTTATTATTATTTTAGGTAAAATTTTAATTTTAAATATCCACTATTCTATAATCTAATTTTTGGATTAGGTGTATCTAAGGTCATTTAAGATAAAATCAAATGTTATTAGTGAATCAAATTTAAAATATCTAGATATAATTGTAAATTAATTAAATTTGAAATCTCTCATTATGATATGTAATCAACCATTATGGAGGTGGGTATTATTTCTAGATAAACTGCCTAATATTTAGTATATTGTTAGATAAGTTAACTATTCAAATGCTTTTATTAATTCAATATTTAACATCTTTGGTTTTATAGATATCATTTAAAAATATTACTTCGCATAAAATTTCAAGTCAGCATTCTACAAAATTTCAAAAAGAAAAATATTAAAAAAAAAATTTTTTTTTATTGAAATCTAATATGTGTTTGAGTAAAAATATAAATTAATTAACAATAAGAAATAATATTTACTAATGTGTGCGATCAGAAGATCACGACCGTCGAATTCATCGGCATGCATAAACCTAATCCTTTTACTGTAATTTTCCGACGAAAATATGAAACCCTAATGACCGTTCTAACCCCTCCGGCTCAGACCAAGCCCGAGATATTCGGCGTATGGTCTCAGGTGTTGACGCGTGTCCCAGTGTACCAACCCTCGGGCCTTTTTGCACGCTTCTACGCTCCCTTCCCGCGTCGGCCCCTACACTTTCAGTTCTGTTGATTCTTATTGGTGCGTGTGATACACGTGATAAATAGTGGATTGGTTTTGGTTTTTCGTTTAGTGGGATAAGCATGTTTCCTCCTAGTCGCGAACAGCTAGGGCCAGCTCATAGGTTACTATATCCAGGGAGCCATTTTGCTGCGTAAGGCGTTTCTCTATATATAGTGCAGTCTGGTGATAGCAGAGACCTGGTGGGTGGAGATAGCAAAATTCACAAAAACAAGCATACAGGTTTTGTTTTCAGCATTTCGTACACAGGATTACTGTTTGGTTTTTCGGTATACAGAACTCTCTCTTTCTCTCTCTCTCTCTCTCTCTCTCTCATCTGATCTTCTCTAACATTATAAAAAACTCTCTCTGTGTAGGTCTTTTGATTTTTTCAATGGCGACAAGTAACAGTTCACTCTTGTTCAAGGCGGCAGAACAGAGTAACGCCGCCAATCAAGAAGAACCCAAAGTTGATTCCCCGCCGGAGGACCAAATCGAATCGCCCAGGAGTCGAGGGAGAAAACCCAGTAAGGTTCCGGCTCAGAAAAAGCAGCCGCAGAGAGGAATGGGGGTGGCGCAACTCGAGCGGTTAAGGCTGCAAGAGAGGTGGAAGAAGATGACGGATATTACACAGGTGAATGCTCTTCATGTTCCCAATCAGTTTCACTCTGTGCCGCATTTACCTTTCACCACTGACTCGATCGGTGGTGTTCCGGTGCTTCACGGCGGAGCTTATTACGCGGGACCCACAATTGGTGGTGACGGGTTACTGTGTTTGGACCCGCGTATGGTGGCTCACAGGATCGGAAATGGCGGATTTGGTGGGTTTTATGGTGGTGGGTCCGGGTGTTTGATGATGGATCAGGGTAGGGTTGGAACTCCTGGTTCGGACATGAGGGTTCAGATTGAGACGGCGAAAGAGCTCCCTTCAATACAAACTATGCTTCAGCAATCTGGACCCGACTGCTTTGACGCTTGCTCGAAGGTCTTGTGTTTTAATTTCTTGTTTGTTTTTTATATGCTTTATCGTTTGTTTCCTGGGAAAATGCAGGAAGAGCAAAGAAGAACGTTATCAAAACACCCCAGGTTCTCGTTAATTTTTCTCTTTTGAAATGCGATGTCTTAAGTTTATTGGCTTTTGATGCAGAAGAAGCGCTCTGATGGACTGGATACAGGCTTTAATGGATCGGGAAAAGATCAATATGGTCTGAGTTTTTTCTCGTCAAGCAAAAGCTGTGATTTTGTGGGAGTTGATCGAGAAAAAAACGCAGGCACCTTCAATGGAGATCATTTCAATGGATTTGGCGCTGTGAAATCAACTAAGAGTCCCCTTTTTGCTTCCCGTGATTCCAATGAGGTGAGCACCTAATATATAATATATATGTATACCCTTGAATAGATATGATTCTATGTCATGATATACATATGATTAACCTTTTCCCATCTTCATTACTTGATTTCAATTCATTAACTTTGAATTAAATTGTAAGAGATTTTGACGGGTTAGATCATGTGGGACTTTATTTTTTTGCAGCAAGTGGAGGTGATGGCTATACACAGGAAAGGAAACTGTGATGAAAATGGTGGGAGTTTAGTTATGGAGTATGAATTTTTTCCGGGAAAAACAAGTGAGAAAATCATCAAGGAGAAAAGGGGATGGCCTGCAGAAGCTTCAGTTAATGCAATGAGTAATGGTGAAGCTTCTAATCATCTCACTACTAGCACTGCTTCTTATGCTAATAGCAGTAGTGATCCAGCTACTTCCATTGATTTGTCTCTAAAGCTCTGAAGTCGTCGATACTTACATATATATGTGTGTGAGAGAATGTGTCTTTTCTTGGGTATCTTTTTTAGTGTTTCTGGGTCTTTTACTTTAATGGTGTAATTTATATGCGAGACAAAAACCAGATACAGTTCTTTTGGATTTCCCGTTTATTGTTATAGAACTTATATATCTGATCTCATCTTCATCCAAAAAGAACTGCAGTATACATACAGACATATGTATGTCTGTATATCTTGATTTTCGCTATAAATCCTCTATTTAATCTTCCTCTCTCTCTCTCTCTCTCTCTCTCTCTCTGATCTGTTGTTGTGTCAGGCGGTCAGTTCTTGTTAATTCTCCCACCTTTAATGATCTTGCTATTATTTGTTCCGTGATTTTTAATCATCAATCTTTAGAAGATTTATATATATATATATATATATATTTATATATGCTTGAATTTAAGCCAGGAATTGTTGATGGTTTGATAAATTTTTGGATTAACAGTGTGTGTGTGTGTGTGTGTGTGTGTATGCATACATATTCTATTCTACCTTAATTTGGAGAAAGTAAAGGAAGTCATAGTTTGACCCTAGTTCTATATATTTCATTTGTTACAATTTTTGGATTAATGTTTGAGATAACTTGCATCATATTATTAATCAAGAATACAAGATATATATGTATATATATATATATATATATCTCTTATCCTACCTTAGGAAAATAAAGGAAATCATAGTTTGCCATGTCAACATGATGTGTACATTATTTTAAAAAATTCTCTTTTGTGTAAGTGTGTGTATATATATATATATATTTATTGTATATCAATAATATTAACAGTGTGAGATAGAAATTTAGTAAAAAAAAATAATTTAATTTAAAAATAAAGAATCATCATTTATTCTATTTGAAGTATGATCAGACGTTAAATATTTTACTGCATTGATCAGTTTATAAAAAAAAAAAGGATTCAAGATAATATAAAATAAGAAGAGGACACCTGCTTCGTGATGCATGTAAATTATTTTGTAGTTTTTTTACTTTATTTTCTTTTTCGTGTTTACTATTTTTTTTTTATTACAACTATAGTAGTGTGTGTACGGAGAATTTATTGTTATTCCGTTATTGGCCTATTTTGAAATCTAAGGAAGGAGAGGATTTGAAATGCATAAAAGTAAAGAAGGAAATACCAATTAAACCAAAAAAAAGGAAAATTATCGACGATGAATATATATTTATAATGGTAAGAAATATAAAAGGTGAAAAAATGACGAAAACGAATCTAAGACGTCGTTTCCTTCCAGGCAACATGATGTATTTAAACAAAAAGACTATCAAGTCTCATACAAAAAAGTTATTCGTGACAAAATGAATGATCGTGATTCTCATCCTACGTCCCTCCACAACATTTTTTTAGGTAAATTGATATACAAATTCTTAATGTGGTAACACCAAAATCATACCCATACAACCCCGAACTCCATCCTATTTTAAGTTATTGAGCAACTTCAAAATTTAAATTAAGACGTGATGCAAGCTTGAAACTGAGAACTACAAGATACAATCCCGTGGTATATTAGCAAAGTCATAATCCCATGGTATATTAGCAAAGTCATAATCTAATAAATAAAATTGGGGCTAAAAAAAATCTATCAAGCAAACTCTCAAATAATATTATTTCAATTAGATTTTAACGTTAAAACTATCTAATAAGCAAAATTTTAAATAATATCATTAGAGCTATTTATCAAGTAAGGTCTCAAACAAAATCTCATATAATATCATTAGAACCATTTATCAATCAGGGTCTTAAACGAAATTTTATTAAGCATTAAATGTTCATCTTCTCTTATTAATTCCATGAAATAGAAAACCAAAATATCAAATAACATACATTAAACAAATAAAAAATTTAATGAATCTAAATAATCCCTAAAACAGCTTCCAAACGCTAGTAGTAAGTACGTTCTCTGAAAGATTTACATTGAATTCTATTTTGGGGAACAACAAAAAAAGAAATGATAAAAATCAAGGAAAGCACTCAAATTATTTATTTTTTCTTTTTTTTTTAAAAAAAAAACTCGTATCATAACTTAACTTGGAGAAAGTAAAGCAAATTATAGATTGATCCAACGTAGATACTTAATTCTATATATTTTATTTGTTACAATTTTTGGACTAATGTTTGAGATAAGTTTGATCATATTATTAATAAAAAATAAGAAGATATAACTACTTATCTCTAATCCTACCTTAATTTGGAAAAAGTAAAGGAAATCGTAGCGTGCCATCTTAGCATGATGTATGCATTATTCAAAATCTTTTTATTGTGTATGTTTATATATTTATGTGTCAATGTATATCTTTAGTACTGGTGATGTAAGATCGAAACTTAATAAAAAATAATTTAATCTAAAAATAAGAATTGCCAAATTAATTAGAAATGAGATCATAGGCGAAGTTTGATAGAGCCTATCAATCCGTGACACCATATAGCCTAAAAGAGATGGAGGGCGGTTTCTATATAGGCCAGCGATACCACTATAAGATGGTGAAAAACCCCTTCTTGAGTCTCGTCCTTACACTAGACCAAAGGGAATCACAACTGCTTCCTTGCCAAAATGATGAGGAGCTGCAAAGCCGGATAGATTGGGTAAGGGAGTACGAGTTGATGTCGGTAAACATCGGCACTCGAGCCAACTTAAAGAGTGTCGATGAATACTGGTCAGATAACGACTAGCCCTTTCGACTCGGATAGAAGAAAATTATCTTTCGTGTTCTAAGTCACACAGCGCATCTGCGACAGCAGATATGCGACAAGGATGATAACAGTGGATTTGTGACACTCCCTCGAACACTTATTTTAAGCATATCGTGACTGTTATTAAAAATTTTAGTGCGCTGGTCTTTCGCATAAAATATGGATTCAAGATAATGTGAGGTAGGAAGTTGTAAGGTAGCACGATTATTTAATTATTACTATTTTTTGTTATTTATTTTATTTTCTTTTATTTTTTTTTATTATCTTTCTTTTACTAATCAACTAGAGTGGTGTGTGTAATGAGAATTTATTGTTACTCCATTATTGCCTCTTTTGAGTTTGGTGAAGGAAATAATTTGAAATACATAAAAAGAAAATACCGAAGAACTAAAAAAAAAAATTACCGACTTGATGAATATACATTCTTACACAAAAACGTTAATAAATATAAATGTTAAAAAAATGTAAGTAAAGACATTATTTCCTTCCATGCGGCTTGGTGTGTTTCAACGAAATTTATTCACAAATGCGATAGAGTGAATTACTATAATTCTCATACCATATCAATGCATAATGCTCCTTAAAGTAAACTAATATACGAAATCTTAATGTGGTAATACTAAGTTTGTACTCGTGTAACTACAAATTCAAGAATCTTTAAAGTTATTTTACAACTTCACAATCTAAAATTTATACAATAATTTAAATTAAAATACGATGCAAGTTGGAAACCAGAGACTAATGAATCAATAATATATTAACAAAGTTAGAATTGGAGAAACAAAATTGGAGTTGGAAAGCTATCTATCAAACAACATATATTAAACATGGACACAACTTAACGAACTTGAATCATCCCTAGAAAAACTTTCAAACACTAGTAATGAGAACACCTTCTGAAGGATTATAAATGGAAGTCTATTTCTGAGGTCTAGGGAAGCACCCAAATTAACTCTCCTTTCTGCTTCAAACTCTCAACCTCCACAATCTCACTCTTTCTCTCTCTCTCTCTCTCTCTCTCTCTCTCTCTCTATTCAGGCTTTCTCTCATCTCTGGGTCTCAGCTTCACTTTTTTTTTTCCTCTCACCCTTCTCTCGGCCAGCTTTTTTTCCCCCTCTAATTCTCACGGGGTCTCCTTTTTATAGGCGAAAGAGGACATGCTTCACCACTGGAAATCCTCCGAGGATCACAAACTTCTTCACGTGTGTGCCTCTACTTCTCTCTCTAGCTGCCATGGCTCCTTCTTCTTCTTCTTCTTCCTGCGCCTATCATGGACAGATCTCTTCTCGAACTCGACTCCTTGCACGCCTTTTTATGTTTGTCGTCCTCTTCTTCCTCGGCGTGCGCGGACGCATCTTTATCTTCTTTTCTTCCCTTTTCTCTTCTTCTTCTCCTCCTTCATCTCTTCTTCTCCTCCTCGTTGCATGTACGGCTACCGCTCTTCCCCTCCTCCTCTTCTTCGAAACAACGACAGTTAATGAGCGAAAGGACGTGCAGGACTCAGCTTGTCAAAAACGGTATCGTTTTTGGGCTCGCCTGATGTTGGGCTCGCGTGTATGACTAAGCTTATTGGGCCTGGTATCTCCGAAAAGAAAAATAAATGAAATCCAAAACAGTGGTTTGGTAAAGCCGTGAACGGCAGGATTCGAACCTGCGCGGGCAGAGCCCACATGATTTCTAGTCATGCCCGATAACCACTCCGGCACGTCCACACGTGGGAGTGGACGCATTTTCAGTCAATATATAAACGTAAGTGCGGATGAGTCAAATATTTTGAACATTTATTTAATTAATTTTAATGAGCTTAAATTGTTAGTTAAAATACGTATTTGTTAATTGGATTTTTATGAATTATAATAAAAATTTATAAACAATAATCACAATAATTTTTATATTAAAAAATTTACTCGCCCTTTGGCTTTATCTAGTATTAATTATATTATCTTGTTTATAAATTTTATAATTAACCAACATATATCATACTTGCATTTTAAATTAGAAATTTCATTTTTAGTAATTCCCAATGTAAGATATTTATATATATATTATATTATATTTTACTTAAAAAAATAATTATAAACACTATTTACTCAGTCTTTTTAATTTTTCACAGGAGATATATTTTTATCTAAGTTTAAATGGTAAAAAATCTATTATAATTTTTTTATTTAAGTCCTTAATCTCGTTTTTAAATATAAAATTTCTTAGAAAAATTAGTTCATAAAAGTTAATTATAAATATTTAAATAAAAGAATTACAATGCTACTAAATTTTGTTACTATTTAAACCTATTTTATATATAAAAATGTAATAATGAATATTATATTTTTTGGAAAACGACAAACTTTGACGCAGGAGATATATATATATATTTAATGTTGCAAATTGCCGCGTGGCAACTCTTTTTTCCGTATTCTCCCAACCCCATTACCATTTCATTCCTTCTTCCTCGAGGTCGACGAATCTGTTTTCCAATCCCCGATTCACTCCCTCTCTGCAACTCAATTAACGCAGATAATCAAAGAAAAGGGTAAAAACCAGACAGTCTTGGTTTTCGAGATTATCCCTAGATCGCGTAGCGTAGTTATTCCTCTTCCTCCTCGCAGACCGGAAATGAATCCTCCAGGCCAAGACGCTGACCACCCTCAACTCCCCACCATCAAGATCCACCACCCACCCTCCCCTCGCCACCCCCATCACACCTCCACACCTTCCACCGCTGCTACTCCGACTCCCACCGCCGGCGCCCGCCGCAAGATCGGCGTCGCCGTCGACCTTTCTGACGAGAGTGCCTTTGCCGTCCGCTGGGCCGTTCACGATTACCTTCGCCCTGGTGATGCTGTTATCATCATCCATGTCTCCCCTACCTCCGTCCTGTTCGGGGCCGACTGGGGTCCTCTTCCTCTCCATCACAACCAGCCCCCTGAGTCCTCGCCGGGAAAGCAGCAGCAGCCAAGCCAGCAGCAGATGGAAGAGGACTTTGACACTTTCACAGCGGCTAAGGTGGCTGATCTCGCGAAGCCGTTGAGGGACGCTCAGATTCCCTACAAGGTCCACATAGTGAAGGACCACGACATGAGGGAGAGGCTCTGTCTCGAGATCGAGCGCCTCGGTCTCAGCGCCGTCATCATGGGCAGCAGAGGGTACGGCGCCGAGCGTAGGGGTAGCGATGGCAGGCTTGGAAGCGTCAGTGATTACTGCGTTCATCATTGCGTCTGCCCAGTTGTTGTTGTTAGATACCCTGACGAGAAAGATGTTCCTGCTGGTAATGGCGGTCCCACGGAGCCCATTGTCACCGTCAAGAAGGCGAATGTGGAAGACGACGATGAGGCTAAAGGTAAGTGATCTCTATGTTTGGTGCTGCAATTTTATCTATCGAATTGATTAAAAACACGACCTGCCGACTGATTTGCTGTTGGGTTTGTTTTTTTGTTTTTTCTCAGCTAACATCTTTTAGGTTGCTCATTGCTTTGATTAGAATGGATTTCTTGAGACTATAATTTGGGACTGTATCTTCGCTCTCGTTTCTGATTACAAGTTGGTTGATAGTTTTGGGTTTGTTTTCATGTGATTGACTGGAGTCTTGGTTTGTTTCATTATATTAATTAAAAATTACATTGTGAGTAGTCCATGAATGATTGCAAAAGAAGTCATTGGCTGCTTAAAAAATGGGTAATGCCTAGTCACATCCAACTCCTATAGGAACGAAATAGCTGTTGAAACTATATGGAGGTCTAGTTTTGTTAAATTCATGTGGTTGTGAATATGCAGGTTGGTTTTAGTTGTTGGTATTCTTTATAATTTCTGCATAGTGGAGCCGGTGCTATCTCTAAAATAAGGAGTAATGGAAGAAGACTTTTCATCTTGTAACCAAGTGGAAATAAAAATGCAATATTCTTTCATATCCAACTTGGATTTATTGATTACCATAAAGATCGATATATCCAGAAGCAATTTGGATGTATTTTATTAGCCTCTTAGGAACTGTGACTTTCATTTATTAGCATAAAGATGGATTAATTCTTGAAAATATGGGAACTTGGGATGGTTTTAATCTGTACCATAAAGATATTATTCGCTGTTGTGGCACGATGGCATGTCATTATTGGTTAACTGGCATCCAACACTTGAGTTTTTTCAATTCAAATGAGCAGGGAAAAAGGAATTTTCTCATTCAGGTCCTCCTAGACTGGGTGTTTTGATAATTTCATAGGCATGTCTTCTGTTCAAATTCTTTTCACGAGGGAATGCTTTTAGCATTCATGTTTTCAGATATTTGATCTAAGGTAACTTGCTGTAGAAGAAATGCTGGGTTTTTTTTGGAACTTTATGTTACATTTTGGTTATTTTACAAGAGATTTGAATGCCTGCTAATAAACATCCTTACCGAGAATAATCAATGTCTCCCATAACTTCTGGTCTCCGTGGCATATCACAATTTTATGCATATCGCATACAAAGTCTGTAACATGTAGAGCAGGAAAAAATGGGCACTGGCTTTAGCAGGCGATATCTCTAATTTTGGAGGACTCTCAAATGTGTGTTTTTTTTTTTTTTAAAATGAAGCCTTTAAGTTGATAGAGTGACAAAGCACTTTAAGTCTTTCTAATGGGAATAATCTAATGGGAATAAACTGTCAGCAATCTCTTCCTGCTTAGAAGGAAGTATTTTTGTGGGATTGGGTGGTAATATTAACTTGGTGTTGAATTTGGCGCATAGGTAATGTTAACCCTATACTGTTCTATTTGACCAAAGATGAACTTATGAAGAAAATGATGGGTAAGATGCAGTTGGTTGTTGAAAAAGAATATTTTCAGAAAATGAAAATGAAAGCAATTGAAAACTTGAAAACAAAAATCAAGTTGTTCTTATTTTTTAAATTTAGGAATAGTTTTTATTTATTATTTTTTAAGAATTAATTAAGAATCCAACATATAGGTTCTCTGAAATCTGAAAATAGAAAATGAAAACATCCAATTGTCATCTTTTTCTTCACTGCCAACATGGCTTGGAAGCTTTTACAGGCTCTTTAAAATTTCTGTGAGATGGGTTTGCACTCCTTTCCTTGAAGTTTTCATGATCTTTTCTGGGCTAGGATTTGGTAGGAATAAGGTAAAGATGTTATGGAGAGGGGCTATTACTAGTTTATGGTTTTTGTATATGGAAGAAAGAAAGCTAGAGTCTTTGAACATTGCTATCCATCCCTCTTCTTGTTGTGGGATAGATTCATATTTTTGGCTTTGCTTTGAGTTAAGGCTCATGGTTTCTTCCAGGGTGGTCTCATTAGTTACTTTCTGAGGGGATTAGGCTGGTTTATTTATTTATTGAGGGAAGATATCTCCTGCTATAGTCTGCTGTTTCTCTCTTCTAATAATGTTTCTTCTTTTATGAGAAAAAGATAGTGAACACTTGAATACATTTTCATGTACACAATGTACATTTCTCTCGTTTTTGCACCTGCGCTTTTCTGAAGGATAAGAGATTTTTAATTTTAGTTATGGTTCTCATTATGGAATAAACAATATTTAGACTTTAGATGTTACCATGACTTGGATGTTACTGTGACATGGGCAGTGCCCCCTTGGCACCTCATTAATACATATCCTCACACTTTTATTTCAAAAAGAATGATTTGGATGTTTGATTTCATTATTAATTGTATGTGCTACAATTCTGCCCCGGCCAAGCACAGGGCTGCAATAACATTTGGTGGTATTTTTTTATATATTATTTATTTGTTGGATGCAATTGAATTTACTATCTAGATAATTAATATTATTTTGCTTGAAAATAACTACTAGGTTATTAATATTATTTTGCTTCTTAATTTCACTTCTGAGTCAACATTTTTAACTTTATCTGGTGGTTTTTACTGCTGCTAATTTGTTGTGCTATATTTGAGTTTCCTAGAGCCTTGACACTAATCACTGGGACTTTGGAGTACTTATCACTTTATTGTGTGTACAAAATTATAGTATTTGGTTATGCAGATGTAAATTTTTTTGGCACACGGACAGTGTACGGTTGCTTAATAGTCTTAGAGTCCTTACAAAAATCTGACAATAGAGTAGGGAGTTAAGGATAGGGATAATTTAGATAGGATTTAGGTTGATCTAAGACAATATCTACTGGAAAGGAGAATGAGATGACATAGGGAAAACATGATTTAAGAATGAACGAAAACTCAGAAAGGGCCAGGAAGAATGAAAAATTATTATGGCCTTGTTTAGTTGTAGAAAATTGTGTGCAACTTTCCTTTCATTTCATGTATCTTTTATCCATAAAAATCTCTATGATTGTTGAAAATGAAAACAATATTTGAAAATGATAGTGAAAATGTTGTGAGCTTGAAAATTTTGTTATATTCTTTATCAAATCTTGGTATCATTTTCAACAACTGTACGTATTTTCATGTGCAAATATGTAAGAACTTAGAAAATGAAAAGGCAAAACAATCCTCCACAACTAAAAATGGTCCATGCTTTTAAACAACACACTGAGTTGTAAATTCTGTGCAATATGCCTAATTTCTGTTTATAGAAAACTTTACTTCTTTCATAGACTTTGAAGCCTAATGATATCAAATTTCATCCATAGGACAAATTGGATCCTAATTGTTTGACGAGAAACAAACTAGAATTTTTGAGAAGGCTAACGTAACCAAAACCGTCATTGTTATATTAGCATAAGTAATTCCTATGTTCATAATGGGGGAAGCAGTAATCCTACTGTAGTTTTGCTCATGCTTATCCATCTTAATTAAAATGCCATAGACAAAACCTCAAGAAAGTAGAAAATAAAAGGCTCCAGTTTAGCCATTTTCAACTGCAACCATGTGCCCATGTTTTAGACCAAAACTAATTTTTAGCTTTGCTTCCAAACAGGATAAGTGTTGCCACCCATTCAATTGCTGTTACACATGCCTCCCATATATTCCCCTTATATAGGGTCACAGACAGGATAGAGTTGTTCTCTTTACTTTCCCATTGTTTTGCTTTGTCATTGGCACTTATATCAATGGCCTGGATCTGATTCAAAGTTAGGATTTATAGTAAAAATTACGTAGTAATTCTTTAACAAAAAAAAAAATCTCTAACGATATGTTTGGTTAGGTTTAATTGATTTGTAATATGATGATTCTATTGAAAAAAATACTATTCAATGTAATTGACTACGGCGTTGAGAGGCTGTAATCATGATTACAGCTTTAGCTGTAATTATCATTGCATTCAAGTTTGATTACATGGTTATATAGTGGTAGCTAACAATTTAATCCATCAAAATTTTTAAAATTTTTAAATTACGTAGGTTATTAAAGAGAACCGAACATGATGTAAGTTTCTTGCTACTGTTGAATATAATGAATGAATCTCTTTTTTTTTTTTTTTTTTTTTACTTTTTCAGTCTT